GAGTATAGTTTACTAACTGGAGGGCTGAAAAAACAGATAGTTGTGCTGTCAAATCTACTACATTCTGGCTCATTTATATTTCCTCTAAATTTTCTTAAAAATTAAATTTTTTTTGTTTTTTTAGATCATCTTTTTCCTTTCACATTTTACTATAGGCAACTAGAAGAAGTCAGAAAATATCTTCAACATCTTCTCAGTCAAATCATCTATTCTGTTAGATGCATTTCCTATTTTCCACATAATTGCAGGTGATAATGTTACCAAATTTTCCACCACAGCATAACAAGAGTCTCCTTTTCTCCAAATTTCATGAACACTTTTCTTCTTTTTCTTTAAACTGTCACTGCCAGCCTCCTTGAGGTCCTTTAGACTTCTGTTAACACTGTCCTAAAATGACTTCAGTCTCACCAACACTCTTCCCCAGACCCTTAAAGCCTTTTATAACAATCTAACAATCTCATTGATGCCCTCCTATCTTTCATTCATTTTCTCCCCCAGAGCAGCACCCCACTTCTGGTTGCCACATCTGCTTCAGTTACCTATTACTGCATAACAAGTCACCCCAAAGTTATTGGCTTAAAAGAACAACACTCATTTATTTTGCTTACTAATCTACAATTTGGATAGGAAATAGCTCATCTCTGCTCCACGAGGCTTCAGCTGGGGCAGTTCAAATGCTGAACGTGGCCTGACTTCTGAGGGGTACAATCATCTGAAGAATTGCTCATGGACATGTTGGTTTTGTGGAAGATGTTGAGTTCAATGTTAGAGAAACTAAATTTGAGGAGTTCATGAGAGGTTCAAAGGCAGTTGAACTCATTGACTTGAATCTCAAGAGAGGAATCTAGACTGGGTATAATGATCTGAGAGTCAATGAAATATGGATGACCATTTAACCAGTGAAAGTGGATAAGGAGAACAGCGACAGAATTAAAAGAAATGTGTGGAGAGAACCTTAAAAATATTGACGTTTATGGGATTAAAAATAGAAAGAACTAAGTAGGAGGATGAAGGTAAGAAGAGAATTTGGATTGGTGACATTTCAGTGCCAAAAAGAGAAGAACAGTTAAGGAAGAGAGGGAACTTAACAGGGGCAGACAGGACATAAGGGCCCCTCAAAATTATACACAAATTGATGTCTTGGGGTATGTTAGTCAGAGAATGGTTAATGTTTTGATGAGGGTAGAAACTTGATACCAGCTAATAAAAATAGAAAGCTAATGAGTCAACAAACATACATTAAGTAACAAATATGTCCAGTACTGTTCTGAGTGCAGAGTGTTTGAGAGGTGGTAAAGTTGACACTAAAAGTCCAGATGTTAAAAGAAGCTTGAGGATGAAGGAGATAGGTAATGAATAAAGAGGATTTGCTTATCTGTTTTATTTTAAGATTGTTTTGAAATGCTAATGTTTTTAAAGTGAGAAAAGGAAATCTTGAAGAGAAAAGATCTGGGTGAAAGGCTATGTTTTATTATCTTTACATATGAGGGATGTCTTTTGCCCAGACTCCACAGTGCTATGCATTCAGTGAGCTAGATCCCTAGCTCACATTACTGAAGAATAATTTAGGTGTTTACTGTAGTACATTACTCTTTCTTTAAAAGCGTGATGGAGGGGTTTTACATAGCAAAATACCTAACAATACTTCATAATAGTCTCTTTGAGCATTTTTTTCTGTGTTTATAGTTTTCTTCCCACGGCAGCTGCTAATAGTTTTCTTTTTTCTATCTTCTCTCTCCCCACAGTTCTCTCATCAAACCCAGCTCCCCTGTTCATTTCCTGCTTCCCAGCCAGATGCAGCTGTGCTAAGTGTAAGTGTATGAGGAAGAAAAATTTTGTCCCCAAACTGCAAATTAAACAAATTGTGTTCAGAGCACTTGCATGACAGAGAAACTTAAGAGTAAATGTCCGTGTTTCTGTCAATATGTCTATGTGCAACATGTTTTGTGAGTGTGTGTATGTGTGTGGATACAATCTTGTGGTTTTGTATGTTTGGTCAGTAGCCACAGATTAATTTGGTCATCATTTGATTTTCGAATTTATAGCATGTTATTTCTGTTTAACGGTTCATGTCTGAAGTTAGATTTAAATTGTGCCCTAAATGTTAACTGGTATGGCTGATGAACACATGGCAGTTTATGGCTATGACAAATTTACAGCTCTATGAAATAAACCAGGATATGAACCCAGAAGCTTAGGTGTTCATGTAAACATTCCCACATCTAGGATATATAAATCTATTCTTTCCAAACATTTTTGAACAGGCATGCTGCATCTGATAGATCCTTTATTAGTAAGTAATAAACTTAGTCATGTATGCAAGATAAATATTCCTAAGACATCCTGTTTTAAGATGCAGTTAAACCTGTAGTTTGACATCAAATATTGTCTCCTGTGCTGTTTTCTTCCCCCTCAGCAAGGTTCTCTCCTCATTCTATATCACTTCCATAATTCTGATACAAAAATGTATCTTATGTTTTCAAGAGGACCAAACTATAGAGTGATCACCATGGACATGTATGACAGAGGCAAATCCAGGGAAGAATCAAGGACTTAGTTTCTAGATATGTGTCAGGTTTTTGAATGCTGTGTGAGTGGAGAATGTTTATGCCTTTAAACAAAGATGTACAAAGTGATTACTGTGGGGAAAATCAAGAGTTAAATATGGATTGTGTGGTAACTGAGGTATATAAAAAACTCCACATAGAGATTATGCAAAGGCAACTAAAAATGAAGAATTAGGTCTTGAGAGAGACAAGAATGAGAGGGAGATCCGTATGGGATATACTTTAAAGCCATTAGCGTGAATGGCATCTTGGGGGAAGAAATTTACTAAGGTAACAGAGTGACAATGGGGAATCTTTGAGAAATATCCACATCATGTGTGAGAGGACGAAGTGAAGGCAGGTGAGAAAACAGAGAAGGAACAAGTAGGAGATGTGGTAGGGTGCCATGAAATCAGCTAGCAGATTAAAAAGCAGGCGACTGAAAATATTTGTAATTTGTCCAAATAAATCAAGCTGAAGGAAGATAATGGAAAAATATTTCATTTGTTAGTTAGAAAGAGATCTGAGTCATGGAAAACACAGCCTTCACACAGCAATGGAGACAAGTCTGTTATCATCGTATGTGAATATTGTAAATATATTCCATGGTGGTTGTCTTTTATCCATAGTCTAGAGTGGTGGTTTTAAAGTTTTTGGTTATGCATCTGCACAAGGAAAAAATAAAAAAAGGACACTCCCTAATATATTTATATTTTATATTCATTCATTCAGAAATTGTATACAGACACTACTCTACTCATATGTATGTGGTAACACATTAAGAAAAATAAACATTTTTGAAGAATGAAATAAACTTCAATATAAATAAAAGTTTGATTATTTTCTCCTTGTAGGCCAATGTGTCCTGTTTGGGATTCATGTTTTCCATTTAGAAAGCATCAATATTGAGGCCGTAGCTGATATTTGCATTTTGCACAAACCAACAATTTTCAAGTAATTTCCACTGAAAATGTATCAGTCTTGCAAATTTAGTCTTAATCTGCCTCTCTGTCTAGTTTCATCTTGGCGAGCTGAACCTCTTACTGAAGGTTTCAACAATATTGATTCCTAGCCTATCTCCCATGCATCACTGGTTCCTTCTCTCTCCCTGGAATTTGCTTGCAAGGTTAGAAACGACTGAGGCACGGGTCAAGTCTCAATTCACAGGCTGTAGAACCAACAGATCTAAATTTGAATCCATTTCTGCCACTTAGAAACTGTATGACTTTCGGCAAGTTACTTAAGTGCTCTAAATCTCATTTCCTACTTCTGAAAAATGTTGATAACACCTAATCTCAAAGATTTTTGAGAGAATATTAATTGAGACATATAAACATAGATAGCTATTAATATTAACAAATTGTGTGATATTACAATATAATACGTACTTGACTTATAATCGTATACATCTTTCCTTACAGAGAAATATGCCAGGCATTGAACAGAAAATTGGTGCATTTTTCTCTGTATCTACAGGGTCTAGCATCATGACTGGCATTTCCTTAGTGTTAAACACATATTGATTGAATGAATAAATAACTCCCCTAGCAACTTGATTGTGTACTAATTAGAAAAATACTTAAAGTAGGTATTAGCATCAATGCAAAGGCACATTACATTTGACATCCTCATCCCCATACATATTCACTGCTTTCTTAAATCTTTTCCCAGTGCTGAAAGTTTTCACTTGTCCTCATACAAAGCCCAGCAGTAGTTTTTCTTTGGAAGTTTTGTTGACTCCACTAATATACAACAAAATAGTCTTCACCCATGCTGTGTCAAAAGAGCGAAGACAAAACACCTATTAGTCTACTATGTGGCAGGAAACTAAAACTATTATACGTGTAAAGAAGTGGTATCCCTTAAAAAGAGATATAAATTAAGTAACCACAGATGCATCTTTTAATTTTATTATAGGCATTCTTCACCCAATAACAATGAAACACAAAGATAAATGCTATTTGATTTTGTAACAGTTTTCTTTGCTCTGTTTTAAGGAACAAATAATATCTCAGAGACCCAAACCTTCAGCAGTGCTGCAGTGCTTCTAGAATCCTTCTTGATGTAATTATTATTTAATTGACAGTTAAAGAAAGAATATTACTTAACAGCATATGAATAAACACTCAAGCATTATCTGGATAAAAAGATAATTTATGTCATCATTGGTGTTCATCTCCAGTTTCAAAGAAGAAACATTATGTTAATGAAATTAGATTTTAAATGTGACACCAGATATCAAAATATATACATTCCAAAATGGAGTCTATATGAACAAGAAAGACCTGTGTTGCATCTTCACCCACAAGCCTTGCCCACCGTTGCATTTTACTAGATGTATATAATTTGACTGCATTTCAACTGTTGGAAATGTTACTTCTTCTGTATCTTACATTTGATTCCATTTCCCTAGGCCCTGTTCTTTCTTCTCTGAAAGACCTGGATGATCTGCCTTCATATCTGCTTTGTCTTCATGCTATAAACAACGGGGTTTACTACAGGGGTGAGAAACAAATAGATATTCGCCAGAAGCACGTGCATTACTGGTGATAAATGCTTCCCAAATCTGTGGATCATGGTGATGCCAATGAGAGGAACATAGAAAAGGAGCACAGAGCAGATGTGAGAGAGGCAGATGTTGAGGGCTTTGAGTCTTTCAGCTCTGGAAGCAATGCCCAGCACAGTCTTCAGGATGAGCACATAAAAGAGAATTATAAGGGCTTCCAGCCGCAATGTGAAGATGACGTGATGAAGCCATAGAGGTTGTTGATGCTGGTACTGGCACAGGCTAGTCGCATTGCATCTTGATGGAGACAGTATGAACGAGACAAGACATTGGAAAGGCAGAAGGATAGCTGCTTTATAAGGAAGGGCACAGGGAAGACCAAACAGACTTCCCCAGTGAGGAAAGCTATTCCAATCTTGCCAATGGTGCCATGAGTGAGGATGGAAGCATAGCATAGTAGGTCTTGTATGGCCACAAATGTGTTGAAGGCCATGGACACTAATACTCTTGATTCTACCCCTTCAAATCCATGGATGAAGAACATCTGTGTGATACATGCATCAAAGGGAATCTCAGGGGTATTAAACCAGAAAATGCTGAGCATGGAGGGCAATGAGAACATGGAGAGAGTAACATCTGACAGAGTCAAGATAGAGAGGAAGTAGTACATAGGCTCACGGAGACTTTGATCTAGCTTGATGACAGCTAAGATGGTACCATTTCCCAGGAGAGTCAGTGTGTAGAGAAACCCCAGGGGAAAGGCCATCCATGGACTTTTATCTGGCATCCCCGGGTTACCTGTCAAAATGAAACTATTCTGGTTGGCATGTGATGCATTAGAGTTCAGCATGGTGTTCTCACGATTGGGTAAGGCTGGACTCTCCCACGTAGCTCACAGCTCCTAAATTGAAAATACATTTTCATATAAGACAAGTAAATGGCTTTATGAATAGATAAGTGGAAGAGCAGAGGGGAGAATTATGTTAAAAACAGCACCTAAGAAGTTTTTGTATCACTTTGTCTTTTTGCTTCCTAGACAATCACTTGGGATGACCTCCTTTCCCCTGAATTTAATTTGCTCATCTGAACAATGGACATAAGATGTAAAACCTGTTGTTTAGACAATAGAAAACTTGGATCTCTCCTTCTTTAACATCTCTCAAGGTTTAGTAGAAAAGAAGCAGTAACACCCAAAGACTTAATAGAATAAACCATTTTGCTAAATAATCAAAAAACACTAAGCTCACAATACCATTACCACACACGTAGCTACGCACACATTTCCACTCCATGTCACCATACAAAGTTATGTGTGTGTGTGAATATATGTGTGTGGGTATATATGTATATTCTCATACACACACATATACATGCGTGTATATATTCTTTCACATGCCTAGATATCTATTTGACTGTAATTTGTAATGGCTTACATTACACTAGTGGATAAAACTGTTCAAATTAATATTTAATCTTCACAAATTTTAACAATTTATAATTTTCCATAACCTCATTTCAAAGTAGTGAAGGACAGAGAATAAAGGTTATTGGCACAGGAACAACCACACATAAGATATGAGAGTAGCCACTCATAGGATTTTCATTTGAGAGTCGCCTAAACACCTTGGGGCCATTCTTGAAATCTCTTCTTTGATCAAACCAGTAATTAATCAATTTTAAAACATGCCTCCAAAGCATACGAAATAATTATCCTCTTTCTTCCTTTTGTATAGCCAATAAATAGTATAGCCCATTTCTTTGAGGTTTCCTAACTTCCTCAATCCACTAGTGCCCTCTTCAATAATTCTTCATTCTGCAGTCAGAATAAGCTTTTAAATTTGGAATATGATTTATTCATCACAAGCAAACAAACATTCCTTTAAGGGATTCTGTTGTACTTAAAACAGAGTCCCAAATCCTTATCTTAGCCTTCAAGATAGAGCATGGTTCAGTCCTATTTACCTCTCTAGCACCAACTCACACCATTTACACTTCCCCTCGGTCTCTTCAATACAGCCAAATTTGCAGTGTTTAAATTCCTGGATCTCACTAAGATACTTCCTGATATAGGATTTCCACATGTGTTCTTCCCTGTTCTTTATGCATTTCTCCAATTCCTGTAAAATTCCTCTTTGCTGAATCTATCCTCCCCAAGTAAGCCTTTTTCAAATGTCTGTAATAGTTTGACTTGTTAGTATGCTGGTTTCACATTCTGGGCTTTTCTTTCTTATAGGTGAGTACAGTTAATTAAACATTTCACAAATATTTATTTAATGTCTATCTTTCCTACTAGAATTAAACTCTCTGATGGAAAGGAATATTTATCTTGGTAATCACGTAATAGACCACATGCTAAGCATATATTAGCTTTTCCATTTGTGATGAATGAAGGAATGAAATTATGAACAAATTAATATGGATGATTAAACCTCATTCTTCTTTCCAGAAGTCTTGCAAATCCTCAGATTCTCCCTGATCTTTTGCGTGGGTTGAAAGTCATTAACCAAGAGAAAACTTCTCTTTCTGAGAAGGACAGACGGAAAAACTTAAATGAGGAGTCTTCGTTCTAACCTAGGGACCTGTTGTGAGGAGGGGGAAAGGAGGGTCTCGAGAGCTGTTCTGGGAACTCTGAGTGTAGGTGGGGCAGGAGTGGTGGGGGTATGTGGTCAGGCGCACAAGAGACGTGGGCTTCCCTGTTTATTCTGTCTCCTGCTTCTCTCCTGGGAGATGAGGATTGGCTGTTTGGAGACCACACTACAAAGAAGTTATTTTGCAGATTCTGATCTTTTAGACGTGGGGGAATCCTTGAAAGATAGTATAGTTCAATTAGTAACGTTGTGCTGTGTCCTTGCAAACAGAATCCAGGTCTCTCTCCAAATAAATCACAATGCTCAGATCTAAACAAAGCACTTTGCGGTGCCTGGCTAACCCTCTGGAGCGCTTTGAGGACGGGCCTTTTTTACACTTTACGTGTTGAGTGAGAGACCTTCATTTGTTTGGGTCTGCTGATCCCTCATCTCCAACAATTCTGCTGGCTTTCACTTGGGAAAAAGCAGTTAGTTCATCCCTACTGGATGTTTTTCTTGGAAAGACTTGAAAAATCTCTGATATTCTCTGATGAAGTTCCCAGAGCCTGCTGAAGCATGGTTGTTCTATGGAAATAGTTGATTCTTATTTTCTCCTTCCTTTCTCATTGCTTTGACTTAGTTTTTCTTTATCCAAATATGTTTTACTCCATCCTCTCCTTTTTTCCTTCCATTCCTAGCTCTATACTCCATTTTTCTTTTCTTTTCCATTCTCCCTAAATTTTAAGCCCCCTCTTTCCTCTAGCTCCCAATTCAACTCTCGTTTACTCTTCCATTCAAGTCTTATTTCATTCTTCTCCATGGGCTTGATCCTCCCCCAGTATATGTCTCCTTTTATACCTAATCACAACATCTATGTTTTAGTTTTTTCCATCTTTTCTTTACTTTCCACTGCCCTATGACACCCTATAGACTCTTCTCATCTGTCCCCATCATTTCCCTCACTAGAATTTCTATGAGGATTTAATGAAATAATGTACGTAAATAGTCCTACATAGAGTTTGCTATGTGGAGGGCATGTAAAAAAACCTTAAGATTAATTTATTACCTGTATCCATCTCTATGCTCCAGTTCAGAATTAATTTGGCTTCTTTGCTTCCCTGAAGCTAGCAAACAGAGCACTTATGAAGACTTCTCAAACCTTTAGTGGTGTATGGAGCCAACATGATTCTACATTTCACAACTCCTCTGGAGAAATCCCTTGAGGCGTGTTATGTCACGCCACCTGGGCCATTCCATCCGGATTTCCCTAAAAATGCCAAACCCTTCCTTTGCCTGTCAGACTGTCCTTTCTTTTGCCAACACTTACCTGAAATTTTCCTTCATTGTGATTTTCTTTGCATTCTCTCAGCCTAGTTGGAAACAGGAAGGATCTGCTTCTTCTCCCAGACACACACACATGTGCACATAGCACACATTTTACTATGTATATGTAGTGATTTGCCTCATGTTAAATCACTAAAAAAGTTTTGGGCTGCCAGCTCAATTTTGGCCCGAGTCTTCTGATTCCAAAGCCATTCTCAGTGTCAATGCTGACATAGTGTTATAATTTACCCTGAAATAGCACTGGGATCCACTGTTTTTTTGGATAGAGAGAAGGATTGTCTAAAATCTCTATCAGGGACACAGAGAACAAAGTTCTTTAAATTTGTTGGACTTCTTTGCTTTCCTGGGTTGTTATTCAAATATATCAAATATAATTTCTTTCATTCATTTTAATACATCCTTCCATAACAATATATATATTTTTTTACCAATGAGGTAATTCTTAAGACTATAGAAACTGCTGGTTACACTATCAGTGTGTGCCTTTGTGTGATCAGTCCTTAAATTGTCCATGGACCCTATCCACCACTTCTTCACACCCCTTTGGAGTCCATCTATAGGCATATTCACATTATAAACAGCAGAAAACAAAAGCCAGATATAAACAATTCTTATGATGATACTTCTTTTATCAGGCTTAATAGAGAATGTACGGCAGAAGTTTATTTATTTTTAATTTCTAAGCCCATTTCTTTCCAAGTATGTTTTACAACCCTACAGGAGACAACTTGAACCATAAACAGTAAGAGCTAGTACTTTATGATAAGTGTTTCTTTATATTTTTAACAAGAATTTGTTACCATGTCTAGAAATCTATGATTTTCTGTATATTTATGGTTTTACATGATCCTCTATAGAATATGTGTGTGTGTGTGTATATATATATATATATACACACACACACTGCATGCAATATATATTTAAAGACAAAGTCTTTGCCTTCAAGGCAAGTGCTCCCAATCTTTGAAATACTGTTAGAGACAGAAATAGACACACAATATGTTTGATGCAAACCTGTGAGTGCTTAACTGGTGGCTTGGACTCCTCTGAAGACATCAGGACTTGCTTCATCCTACAGAAACTGATGTCACCTTTAGCATAACCTCTTCCAGGAAGACTTCCAGATTATTCTAAAAATAAGAATTTCCTGTTATTTGGAGTGCTACTTCATCAACGATCTGCCTCTCCATATCCAAAATGACAAAGTTTAACAGAAAACATAAAGTCAGTGAAGTCTGATGGACTTTTCTTGAAATCACTGTTTTGATTTTTCAGCTGTTTGATTTTAGAGAAAATCATTAAACTTCTTATTTAACATTTCTTTGTTAGCTACTATTAAATGACAGCTATTCCCTCTTCTTTCCGTGTATGTTTATACAGCCCAATATACATACAACCATGTTGACTATTCTCACTTTAAATTTATTACCAAAGACCCCCTCAATGCTTCCAAACAATCACACTTTGTGACTCTTCTCCTACTATCTTACATCTTACCTAAATCCATATTCCTTGTTGATGACCTTGCTTCTTACTTCTCTAAAAAATTGAAAAAAATCAGAAAAAACAATACCTAGTGCCCCAGAACAGATTTACTCATCTACTAACACTGTCAAATATATGCTAATTTTTCTGTTTCATTATATAAATTAAGTGAAATATCCATGCTCCTTTCTAAAACAAATCATTCCATTTTTGCATTAGATCCTTTTCCTATTGTCTACTCAGGAACATTGTTTCAGCAATTCTTTCTTACCACTCTTTCTTATCGTGAAGTTTTTACCCTCTACTTCATTAGCATCAAACATGATGTCATGTTTTTCATCAAAAAGAAAGTTTTCTTCCAGTATTTCTCTCATTTCTTTGTTCCCTGTTAATGTAAACACCTTAAAGTAGAAAAAAATTGTTAGGAAAAGAGAGACTTCTCCCTACTTCAGAT